ATAAACACTTTATTCTCATATATTTTTTATTTAAACAAAAACACAACGTGTTATATTTAAATTTATTGACCAAATGTCGTGTTTCTTTATCAGCACAACAATTTATGTTTACCTACGATGTTGTCGAGACAACAGTAAAGTAAATGTAACAATGAATTAAATATATACCAAAAGAAAACGTTTTCGTATGATATATAGGTAAATTAGGATATTTAATAATTTTAAATATATCCTATATACACAGAAGTCACACATTATTTGATAGATAATTTATTTTAAATTGTAGGAAGTTTTAAGGTAGAGCAGCAATGAGCTCATAAAAGATTACTTCATTTTCCAGGACTACCCTTGGTATCGTTTGCTTTCAAGATATTCCTTTTAAAGCAGAAAATAGATGAAACAAGTAGAAGTTATAAAAAGGAATACGACATTTCTCGTCTGTGTTTATTACTGTACATTAGTTATACGGCTTCCGTAGTGTCGTTTCGGCATGAAATGGGAACTAATGAGATTTTGATGTTTTTTTTGACTGAGCCTTTATTTTGTCTGGTAATATAACAGTGGTGCTTCATACCTATGAATGAAATCGTCTATGTTCAATGTAGGTCACGGTAACAGATATCAGATGAAATAAATTGATATTACAATTACATAGCACAAAAGTTAGAAGATGATGAAACCCCAATAATCATATTTAGTCATGAGTAGACGTAAATGACAAAATTCACTTTCTGAATTCAAAATTCAAGAACAGAAACCAGATAAGGCACAAATATTTGTAGTCATAAGTGCTCATAACTGCGAGGTCTATCTCAAGATGTATTTATTAAATAGATAAAGTGAATAATATGTATTACTTTGCAGAAAAGTGTTTTGGAACGATGTTGTGGTGCAGAAAAAATTGTTTCATTGACAAGTTTAATAAAGTAAATGTTGATGAAAACAGAAGAGGTGGATCGACCTTTCAATTGGGAATGTTTTATTTTAATATTTTCAAAGCATTTAAAAGTTAATTCAAAAAACATCAAACGTCTTATAAAATATAATAAGTATAATAATTATGTTGTCTTCAAAAACCACAAGTCCTTAATATATTTTGTTTTAAAAGCTTTTGTTATAATTTTCACTGTTTCATGTCGTCTATTCATAAACTTGTGACAGCGAACTTCTATACACGTTAAGTAATTAATTTGGAGAAAACAGTTGCATTTAATATAGCAATTTATATTCTGCAGACTGTCCTGCCGACGCCGGTTTTGTTATACGCTCAGAACAATGAACATACTTATGCGAGTTTATAAATTATTTAGAGCTCGCAACGAAAATTTCAACGGCTCCAACGGCTCCAACGTTTGTGTTCAAATAAGTTAAGAATTTAACATTTTAACAGTCATCATTTGTATGGCTAACTGACTGCCATAAGATTTTAAATAAACCTGTGTTACTAAAGCCCTACTTGGTAATTTATTACATAGCTTGTTGTCATCATGTTTATTAATAATTTCTTATATACATATGATTAAAAAGTTATGACTGACCATTATCGTAAAACGTACATAAGAATTATTGAGATAAGCCATGAAGATTTCAGAGACAATAAATAGGAAATAAATCTTGAGTATCATACTGATAGTATTTTAGGGAAGTCTGTCGTGTGTAAGTTTATGCTTAAAAGAAAGTATTTTAACAGCCTCAGTTCAGTGTGAAAACTTAGGTCCAGCATGGTATAGTAACGAGAAGTTTCCCTTTAACTAGTCTAAATATATGTATTATTTAGCCTTACTTATCTATGGAGTCCTTGGTAATCCCCTACTATGAATATTTAATTATAGACACTTTACGAGAAGGTGATTTGTAAAGTGACACCTGTGATATAGGGGAATAGATTACTACATACATCATAAACAATGTCACTCTTGGTGAATTATATTCAAAACAATGAACAAAAATTTTTAATACATACTAATAATTTTAACGTAGGTTCTATTATGCTTGATCAGGAGAGCTGTTAGTATTATCCTTTTTTGGGTGGGTTGCCAAAAAAAAGGAATATGCTTAGAATTTCTGGGACTATGTCTTCTCTTTTAAATTTTAGCTATTGTTGATATTTCATGCGGACTTTTTATAAAAATCATCTCTTTGCTGTTATCTCTGTTAACCTTTGTCAGTAATATATAATTTCAATGAAATAGTTACATCTAATGTCTTCTACTAAAATTCTAATTGACCTTTAAACTCCAATTGAAATCTTAATAATTTTTATCTCCATTAAAATTTTATTCATGTCTCCATTAAAGTGTATATAAAAATAAGGTTATTTATATTTCATATAATTATAAGTTTAGATCTAATAAAAATGTTTTAGACATTAATTTTTCTTACTAATCTTTATTACACATAATCTACTCTATTGTTCATAATTTACCAATCAAAATTATTAAGTCTAGTCAAAAAAAAATAGATCTCCATCATTATGTTAAATACAAATTCTGATCGTCTCTATATGTCCTGTAAATATTATTACTTCACTCTCTGGAGCAAAATTGTATCTTTAAAAGTAAACAGCTATTGTATAGAATGAACACATTTTATTATTTTTTCATTATACATATATACACGTGCTATTGATAGTGATCATCACGTGATATAAGTACCATCGTCCTTCACTGACTAACAGCAGTCCACTGTTGCTAGCTGACATTATAAAAATAATATAATTTGATAAATTTTCAAGGCCAATATTTCAAGTGGAGAACATTTGTTAAACCGGTATATTTACTAAAAAAATCCGCGTTAGGTACCTATATGAACAAATATTTACTCAATTATTTTAAAATCTTAAAAAAATCTATAAAATCTGTCAGCTTCTACGTTCACTATCGGATACGATAATATTTTTTCTTACAGTGGTATCTTTTAAGGCTGTAGTACATTTATATAAATAATAATTTCGATATTACAACATTTTTAATATATTGCAATAAAATAAAATGCTATAAAAAAATAATTGTACTTTAGACCACTTGTATTCATTATATTATCTTGGAATCCTTGGAATCCATTTATACACGCTATACTGTGAGTAATGAAATTATCTTATTTTATTGACATATTTTTAATCAATCAATAATAAAAGTAATAAATATCGACCTGTTAAAGAATAGTATGTAGAAAAAACAAAAAGTGATGTTAATATAATTAGAGCTTAAAAAAATATAAATATTTAAAAGATATTTTTGACGTCAAGAGCTACAAAGACTATATCAGGGTTACATAATACATATAAACTCTGTGGACGAAAGAATAACAAAGAAATATCCTCTTAAAATAGTCTTTGTCGAAAATTTCCACACTACAAAGCAGAATTCAAAATTATGTGAATAGAGAATAATCTGTTAGTCTTCGTCCTAGATAAACGTAAAATACTCTTCACATACATCCAACATTTAAAATTTTGCAAAATTATTTTACATCAAATTTTTTTTTCACTAAAAGTACTACGACTGTTGTCTTTATTTCGTATGATAAGGAATTATGACGAACTGATAGTCATTAATGGACAAATTTGATAGTTGTTTATATGGTGATAATATTTTAAAGGTCACTGAACTATCGAGCTCCTTATTTAATCACCATACACCACATACAATAAATTGGAAATGTTATATAAGCTTTATTTACAATCGTTTTAAGTTTATAATATTCAACTACTTTGGTTCCACTATGTTATAATTACTTATGCTTTACTTTTCTTATGGAAACCTTTTCTTTCTTTTCAATAAGCAAACATTGCTTGTAGATGTCAGAGAAAACGTGTTTAATGTAGGCGAAAATCATAACTGTGTACTCGATGACATATTAGCCTGTTAGCAGATTGTAGTGCATTTGAAATGCTGTAAACATGAAAGCGTGGTTGTATGATGAAGTTTCCTCAACTTTACTATGATTCGATCTATAAATTTGTACATTCCTAATAACACTGTAACATTACCAATGTACTTATTAAAATATTCTTATAAATAGCATTTAATAAATCATACCTGATCATCTATTTTTAAATACATGTAGGTAATTAACTGGTTTTCGAAATAAGTAAGAAACTTATTAAATAAAATAAATATTTTATTTAAGTAACAATAAAATAAATAATGACTTTTGCTTATTTGATTGAGGCAATGATAATTTGAAAAAGTCATTAGAACAACGTAATGATAAACTTTTTGTAAAAGGTTTTAAACTTCCTTTAGAATTTTACTTTACCCTTACATAAAAATTTGGATTTTTGAAGAGATCAGGAGAGTGGTATAAATATAAATGAAGATTAATTTCTGACGACAATCAATGTTGAGCGGTCAATTAATAAAAACCCATTTTAGCAGTTTTATAATTTGAAACCGAATCAAAAGTTTACCAAGATACATTTCACGTTTAAGACGGAGTTTACATCCGTATGCTGGTGCACGACCGACTGCCGGCGACGCTCTGTGCGTGCGATTCTGATACGCCCCGTACTGAATTAAACATGAGATATCTAGACAGAACACTCTGTAAACTTTTACAACATAATGTTCTCATATTTCATGAGATACAAGTTCTTTCAATATATTTTTGCTTTTAACACTTAATTTAATATAGTCTAACTTCAAATGAAAGAAAATTTTGATGTTTCTGTGAATAATTTAATAGACTAGAGATTACGTACTGGTCCTTTTGATTGATACAATATGTTACAAAAATATTATATATATACTTTACATACATATAAAAATTATAATATATTTACAGTAAAAACTCTGCTTAATGCTAAACATCATCTGTCAGTCTCAAGATTTTATTCTGAAAATGCTTAACTGGTGAGAAAACATATTTTTGGTTTTGTATCTATAAATCTGAGCACCTGGACTTTTGTATAGTTTAATTTTTATCTATTATTATTACAGTAAATTTTCAATGTATAATATTCTTCAAATATAAATCTCATTTATTTGGTACAGCATTTACTAGGTTATTGATTTTCTAACATTTTTATTTCGCTCCTTCTTTTCTTGTAAATAGAAATATAACATATCAGGAATCCACATAGCCAAGAACAATAAGAGCAGCATGTTTTGGGCTGTGATACATATTGCGAAACTGTCTGTATAATCTCTGATCCAGCCTAAGAAATATCCGACGGGGGGTACAATAATACCCATTGTTAACATGCCTAAACCAACAGCAGAAGGCACTTGTTCCGTCCTACATGGTTCTGAAATAGCTATATTCCTGGCTACAATTACCATGCTTCTTCCAAATCCGTACAAGGCGGAGAGGATGAGTAACAAATACAGATCTCTTTGATAAGCCAAAACTGAAAATAAATGTGATACGATTATTCTCTGCGGATGTTTACACTTAATCGAGACATTCGTTATAACGAACACTTACTTTGTCTTACAACTATTAACCAAATGCTAGTCATAATAAGCATCATCCTGGCTTTGATTCGAAATCTATCTTGCAACATTGGTAAAACAATTCTTCCCATGATATCAGCCAAAGCCACAGCTGACATACAAGTGGCGGTTTGTTGTTTATTCATTGACGCAGCTTTCTGTTCAAACAATACGTATATGTTCATATAGTGATGGAAAAATTTATATGTAAAGCAAACAATACAAAATATTTGTCGGAATTACCTGCAGAAAGAATGGGAATATCATGCTGAAGTTTTGTATAGAAACCACAGTAAGTGCAGTTCCAATGATTATATTAATAAAACGTGGATTCGATAATAGTGACATATCAAATAAATCGTAAATCTTCCTTAATAGTGTTTTTTCTTGTGTCGGTCCTTCCACACTGCCTACAATAAAAAAAATACGATTTTCAGAACATGAGAAAAAAAATAAATGTTGTTTAAATTTTATATCATACCATCTTTATTTTTAGCCTTTTCGGGACTTTGTTTGGTTTCTTTTTCTTTAGTGCTAACGGATTTAGAATCAGCCTTCGTATTGAAGTCTGTTGCCGCAGGCAAAGTAGTTTGACTACCATTTTTATTGGAACTTTCATTGCTGCTATAATCTTTCTTGCTTATCGCATCCGTTTTTTCATCTAGCAAGTACATCTTCTCATCAATAACTACCTCTTCCTCAACCTTTTTCATATGCCACTCAACGGGTTGAATAAGCATCGTCCCACAAATCTAATTACAATAAAATATTTTCGTATCTGTTATTAAAAATTCTTCTTTTTTTAATTACAAATGTATCCAAAGTTATATTTACCCCGTGTAAACTTAATGACGCTAGTAATATACAAGCATCTTTAAAGCCATAGTTGGCCAAAAAGTATCTCACTACATGCGGCATAAGCGTCTGGCCAATTCCAGTTCCCACCATTGCTAGGCCAACGGCTAAATTTTTCCTTAATTTAAAATATCCATTAATAGCGACAAAGGAAGCATTTTGTATAAAACCAAGACCCAAACCTGAAATTAACTGTCAATATAAAACACATCTATTAAATAGAGTTACTTTTTAGAGTAAACTTATGAATACTTAAGTTCTTACCTAGTGAAACTCCATAAGAGAGAACTAAATGCCAAATGTTCGTTGAAAATCCACTAAGTAATATACCGGTTGTACAAAAAAAGGCCCCAAGGACAGCCACAAACCTAGGTGATGTTACTTTTATAAGTGCCCCCCGCTATAGGACCTCCAAAATTTGTGACAAATAACATAGTGCTTAAAACAATGGCTGCTCCTTTTGTCTCATGACCCATAGCTTCTAGAGCATCTCCATATAACAAGCTGAATAGAGACAACATGGACTGGTTAAAAATCTACAAAATAAATATAATATTTACATGCTATAATGTCGATATTAATTAATTAATTATTGATTCAATTTACATAATATGTAGAAGATGATTGGTTTCTTAAAACACCTGTTTTAACTTTTAAGTCTAAATAATACATATATTTTAACTAAATTTATAGTTTTCTATTAAAAATAAAATGATATTATTAGTATGACTTAGTATTCTAGTGGATTTAGTTTTGTAATCCTATTATGATTTTAGAATCAAAGCTAATTTTATGAAACAGAGAAAGCAAGTCATAAAAACATTGAGAGATTATATTCCACATTTGATGTTATACTTTTTGACCATTTACTTATAACGGAACAGAAATAAATATGATATATTCAATATTCATAAATAAGAAAAAGTAACTAAATTTTGCAAGAACCCACGTGTCAACTTAAAAGTATGTAACTATTAAAGATTTTCCAATTTAAAATCGCAACATTTGTTAGAACATGTTGATAAAGACAATATTCAAGGATATGAACATATTACGAGTTCATTACTTTTCTAAAGACCTAGATTAAAGAACAATATATTTTTACCTACTTACAAGTTCAAGTATTAAGGTATTAAAGTCTTCAACTAATTTTGTCTTATATTTAGATATTTTTATCAAGGATACTTCCTTACTTACTTTGTCTTACTAGACATCTATAAAATTTTACTATAAATAAATAAGAATAAATATGATAATTGTATTTATTCTGATACCTTTATGCATTATTCTTATATTTTTTTCATTTAATTCTAAAATATATACATGTATTCACGAAGAGAAGAAAACATACAATATTCTGTATATAATATCATAAGGGAACGAGTTCACATCAAATTGTTTATCAAGGACTAGGATTTTAGTAAATAATATTTAAATAACTGATTTAGATTATGCTATTACTAATTATAATATTAATTATAACGTATTGCTTACATTTGAGAGTCCAGTGCCTATCAGCACCATCCAACCCCACCCTCCATCCGGTGGTAAGAGTTTGATAATCTTTTCTGTCCTTGGTTGTACATCAGAATTCCTTTTTGACATCTTGCTGTGTTATATTTTACTTTTCTCTTATTTTGTGACTTAACCTTAAAAAGATATAATGAGGATTAGTTTATTTAATCCAATACATATTTAATAAAAGAATATTTCGCATTGAAGAGTAGAAACCTCAAATTTCTTATATGATATAAGAAATTAGAGGATTATATATGGAAATACAGTTTTTATTTGGTGTAAATATATAGGTAGTAAATAAGGATATGAGTATGTCTACAGTCTACGCTCTTCTCTGCTTCTCTTCTTGCTCTGTTAGGTTTGACTTGTAGTAGAGTAAAGACTGAATATAGAAAGGGATTGTAGAATATCCGGTAGTAGGGTGGGATGACGATATCAGTACGATGGCAGGGATAGATTGGAGGAAAAGAGCTGAATATTTATTTTAGTGTCGTGCTTTAGAGGGATCCGAAATGAGTTAGTTACGGCTGATAAATATATAAGTAGACATATCTAAAGTATGTTTCAATATTATTTAGCACCTTTATCATGTTATTGGTTCATTGAATGATTATAATTAAATACAAAGTATACATATACTACAACAAAATACAATAACAAGCAATAAAATATTTTTTTTCTGCTTAGTCAAATCTGGATTTTATTCCCTGTAAATTTTTTATAGGATATATTTAATTCACAACTTCTTAAATTAAAACACCGTCTCGGTTGAAGAGTGGTATGTAGCATAATAATATTTTAGCATTACCAAGTACGTTTTTTTTATACTATATAAAAGGTGGTAAATCAACGGACGGCGTATCTGATGGAAGGTAGTCACCGTCGCCCATGGCCATCAGCAACATAAGGGATGTTGCAGATGCTTTATCAACCTTGATTGTTGGAGAAGGAGACAAACGGATAGGAAGAATGAATGGGCAGAAAAGAGTGGGTATAGGGAAAGGACGACTGGCTCTTTCACTCACCAGACGAAACGCAGCCATTAAAGATTACTGAGAAAGGGTGGGTGAGAGAGTGGTGCTGTCCCGGTCGAGCCAGACCATGTTCGAGCTATAGTGACTTGACCACAGCTAGGCTCTACCACCATAGTTGTTTGTTATTTAACAGCTAGGTTCTTATAATGATTTTGCAATGATTGACAAAACAGAGGTATAATAATTGAATTTCTAAATCACTATAGACTATAATAGTCTCAACACTGCACGTATTAACTGGTTTTCTCTTCAATTTTAATACTGCCAAGAGAGACACAACATGATATTACTATCATTGACATTTTCTAATTTTAATTTTTTCAGTCATTTGAAATACTGTAACCAAATTTTATTACAATATTACATTTTTGTGAGGGCTGTGTGGTTACCATATATATTTTAGTGGCAGATACTTTTACAAGACAATTTATTTTACAATTTTCAATAAGAAAGGATCAATAATAATAGCGGCAAACATGAATACTTCATAAAAGTAGTAGGCCTCTTCTTTAGTTAACAATTACTTGACGTAATTATCTACAAAAGTGTTATTTACTTTGATCACATATATGATATATTTTCGATGTAAGCATCAATTATTTTATCAGCCCTGATAAGGTATAGCTAATGTTTCTAAGCTAAATTCTTTATCTCTAAAATACTAATCATTAAAATATGGAATTTAATCACTAACAATAATGATAAATTAAATTTATGATTTACTGATAATTACCCAATATAAAAAAATAATTAATATCAATTAGGTGAATCTACATGGTCACCCGCGTGGAATACTACTTACTAATTTAATAATTTGATAGTTAAAGTAGTACTCAAATCGATCTAGCTCTTCCAAAGATAACACTTAATAAACAGACAGAAAGACAGAATCACAGAAAAAAAATAGAAAAATATTTTTTTGGTACTTGGTATGCATCTATATGGTTTTTGTGTTTCCCTTTAAAAATGTGATATATTGGCGCAACAACATCAATAAGGAAGTTAATAAATTGATAATATATTATTTATTATTAAAATACCCTTAATACAAGTGATAAGTAATTGTAAAACCGTGTATGAAATCGATTATTTAGTTATAAAAGTTATCCTTCTTATAGGTCAGTTTGGAGCTAGCAATTAAAGTATAAAAAATTATTTCTTAAAATTGGTGTTAGAGTTTATTGTACCGACATGGAGGTCAATAAAGAAGTTGACGACAGAAACGGTGTGCCGTTGTCATCTGTAATCAGAAGCTATAACATATTACAAACACAATCCCGAATATCGTTTGTTTCGTTTTTTATTATTAAACATTATTCGTTTTTGAGAATTTATCCAACACTCTTAAACAAAACCAAAATGTTTAATTCTTCTTCCATTTCCCTTGCAGCAACCGTTCCTATAGATGGAAAACTAAGAAATCGTTGGCCGTAGAAGACAAATAGTAATACCACACACAAAATTTCCACCCTGTCTGCTCGTGATTACGACTACTTCAAAGTAAATACAACTTCGAAGGAATGTAGTTTCAAGTTATAAAAAAAATGGGAGAAAATCCTTAAATATTCGTTATATTTATTTAATGAATAATCGCCAAAGTCTTGGATATCATTTTTCTCAGAACTCTTCAAAGGATTTTTTCCGAGTTCCTATCTAGAGAATTGTTCTTATGGAGAAGACTTACCAAGAACTAATAGTAAAATGAGTATACAGTGGAAGTTAGTAATAGGTTACGAAATTAATGAAAGATTTAGAATTGAACTGTTGAAGGCTAGGGCGATAACAGTAGCCAAGTTGATTTTTGGTGCATCATAATCAAAAAACTTAAAGCATTTCCACCCTTTTACACCCTTATAATATTAATGACGCATGTAAGCCATCATGTTTGTCAAAGAAACTCGATCGACATCAATCTTACAGATATAAAAATGTTTGAATTGTATTACTAGGTTTTTTACCAAAAATTAACGAAAACCAGGTCGAATCAAAGAAATAGAAAGACATATGTAGAAAAGCAATACTTAAAACTAAAATCACAACAACGATTTTTTTCGTTTTAAAGAAGATATCGTTTCGACAGAGTTTAGCAACATCCTTTAAGTAAGAAAAATTTTCAGCCAATTTCTAATAATAGCGATTTATAACCCCGGAATCTGTAGCAGCTCTATTACCAGGAAAATGGCTAAAAACAATAAACTACTTCAAAGGGTTAGGACAATACACAGGTATTGTCCTATTCCGTTCATTTTCAAAGACTACATTGCTTACGATTGGTATAAAATTTTAACGGGATTAAAGTGAAGCTAGAGTCTCACATAGCAGCTGATTATTAAATAACAGCAGTATCTCAGCACGTGTAAATTCAATAGTTGAATATCTTATTGTAATTAATACATAAAAAAAAATAAATCATGAAGATTTTTCTAAAGTAAAACGTATTCTACTTTCACTACTGCTAATGTGGTTATTTTATAAGCACAACATCAATCAAGTTAAGAAATTCTGTAGTCTGGAAGAACATTTCAAAAAATTCATACCCTAATAATATTTATAACTTTCGAAAGTACATATTTGAATTGAAACCGATCTTTGGCTATTTCGTGATTTATATTATATTGTTTTACATTTAATGTTAAAGACATCTAAAAACAAAAAAGAAGTGCGTCCTAGAATTCACTACTGGGTACCAAACTACCACTTATTATATTATCACCACCGTAATTACGGAAATCATAAAAATTGTCTGTGTCTTAATCTTAGTATAAATAAGAGTAATCATTGAAGACGAGTCAATACAGTACTAGCATCAAAAATAATAAAAAATATTTCTTGCGCTTAGTGTTCGACTTTATTCTATCAACATTCAGACTAATGAAGATGACAACACCAATAGTGACGTCATAATATGTGAAAAAAATATACCTTTGGCCGATTCGTTATTATTCAACTATATTTAATCGTACGAGAACTTTTTGCCCGACAAACGATTTTGATACAAATATTTTCTTCTAACTACGTTGGATTAACGTTGGATCCAAAATATCTTTAGACTAGACGTGGGATTATTAAATTGAAAACTTAAAGGAAACATTGCAATACTTACTATAAACATCCATCTACTCTAAATAGTTCTATAATGAAACCTTATATGTTAAAATATTACAAAGTGTTACGTGATTTTACGATAATATAGTAATTGGAAACGTGATACTTCTTAAATAACTGTATATAAAGTAATTACCGTTACTAGTCATACTCGATACTGTTTAACTTTAGTTAAATTATAACAATTATAACAAGGAGATGGCGAAGATACTGAATGTGTCTTTATAATTGAAATAGAATACATATATAGTGTTACAAACTTACTTTTTTTAATATATGATTTTTTCCTTATATATTATCATATTATTCTTTAAGTTTTCCTATAGACTATTTCTATGCGAAATAATTAATATCCGGTATAAGTATGTGATTTAATTTTGTTATTTGTTTATCATAAAATAAAAATCTTGTTGTTTTTTATACTTATGACGACACATTTAGTTTAAGGTCAGTGGTCACCATAATAAATCGGACATAACAAAAACATATTTTTGCGTATCAAGGCCCTTATCAGCAATACTTGATAGATCAATGTTGTTCCAAAAGATACCGTTATTAAAAAATATTTCCAAATTTCCTATAATATACTATACCATTCTTGTGAAATGATCAGTACTATTTTAAAAATAGAATGCGTAGTATTTGTTTTGTTTTTGTTGAAAACTTGTAATAATTTAATGTTTAAAGAATAAGCCTAGTTTTTAGTTTTTAAACTCATATGTAATATAGAATCACTTACTTTTAGCCATTTATAATTCCATTGAAAGTATGTGTCAGTAAAAATTCCATAGTATCTAGGTTTTGTTATTTTATTTAGTTTTATTCCTCAATAAAGTTATTTAAGACATTTACATTCTTTATAGTAAATACATAAGCGTAAGTTTTATAATAATAAATGCTTTAAAAACAAACAAAACAAGAATAACGACTAATTTATTTTGTTGCAAT